GGTGTCTCTGTGTCCCACTGCGGATGTGGCCCGTGGGCATCTCCGTGGGCGTCCCTTGCGTGCACCTCACCGTGGCCGTTGTCCCCTGGCCATGGCAGTGTCTCTAGTGCACCTCACCATGGCTTCTTCCTCATGGACGTCGCCGTAGCCGTATCTCTTGCGTGCACCCTGCAGGGCTGTGTTCCCCCACAGGCATCGCCATGGCCGTGGCCATATACCTTGCATGCACAAGGCCGCGATCCTCACACACACCACTATGGCTGTGTCCCTGTGGGCATCGCCATGGCCGTGTCCCCCGCGCACATCTTGCCGTGGTTGTGTCGCCATGGACGTCGCCACGGCCATGTCCCTCTTGCAGTTTGCTGTGGCTGTGTCCCCACAAGCCTCTTTACAGCCTTGTCCCAACGAGCCTTGCTGCAGCTCGGGCTTCCCCACAACTGTGACCCCCTGTGCCTTGTTGCAGCCATGTTCCCTGTGATCCCCCTGTAAGTGTGTCCTCGCACGGACCTTGCTGCTGCCAGCTCTTCTGCACGCTTCACCGCAGCTGTGTCCTGCACTCACACCTCTGCGGTGGTGTCCCCTGTGGGCACCGTCACCTCCATGTTTCGGCACATGCCAGCACAGCCCTGTCCTGGCTTTGCTCCTGCAGAGCCCGCAGGCAGCTCAGCTTTGAGGCTGGAGAGGAGTTTCTTGCCTCATGCAAACCAGACAAGCTCTCCCATGTCACCAAACCCTGGGGAGTTGGTGATTCCCAAGGGATTCGGCGTGCTCCCTCCTCTCCTCCTGACTTGTCAAGTCAGGACAGCGATGCTGGAGATGTTTGGGGCTGCAGGGTGTTATCCGGCCTTAATCCTTTTGAATTAAGACCTGATCCAGCACTTAACCGGAGAGCCCCAGAGGGCAGGTGTGTACTGGAAAAGGCACATTCCTTCCCAGCAGGCAGCTGCCTCCCCGGTCAACTCTTTTCTCGGGGTTATGAATATTGCCTTGACACAAGAAACAAACTGCACTTTCTCACCGATACGGCTGCACACATGCTGGGAGTTACGCCGGTGCGTGGAGCTCTCCCTTTTATCCTTACTCTCACAAATGCGCTCTGATCCGTATGGCTGCACTAGCAGAAGGGATTGTACACAGAAGGGATCCCACAAAGGCTAAGAGGAGCTTGGAATGTGTTTGCGTAGATTTTTGCTAGAAACACGTCCCTGTGGGAGACTAGAAGGAGTAAAGTATTTATGCATCTGTGCGATGTTTTCAGTCTTTCCGATGAGCCCCAAGGAACAGATGGACCCTTCTGGAGTCCCAGCAGAGGTGGCAGAGCGGGTAATCCTGCTGCTTAGTGTGTAGCAAGGCTAGCAGGGCAAGATCCCAGCTGTGAAGGAAAGAGGTTCAAGGGGAAGTACAGTTTAAAGTCAGGCTATTGCTCTGTTAAAAATTCCTGTTTATTTATAAAAATATCTATGGCGATAAATCTGAGGGCAAAAGTTTGCATAGCCTGATTCTCATCCTACAAACAGGCTTTCATTAGCATTCACGGCACAGGCACAGCTCCTCTGAAACTTGGAAGGTCACCTCAGAGCAGCCTGTCTTGCACGGTTGTGCCGGGAACCCTGCCACCCGTGGGACAGTTTATTTGTTCAATAGGGTGACACATGTGCGTGAAACTTGGCACGGGGTGGACAGGAGGACCCGTGCGATAGGAGCGCTGGAAAATCGCTAGCAGGAAGGGGCCTGGCCCTGAGCCTGGCTGGTGTGCGTGGGGCGGAGGGCTCGCTCCAGCTTTCAGCAAGCTCTAGATCAGCTTCAGCTCAGCATTGGAAAACTTTAAAAGCCCAGCATAAGCATCACCTCAACTGAGCTTGACAGTGTATAAATATACCATTCAGCATCCTAGATAATTCTTGCCCTTAGTTAATTAGGGAAACACTTAACAGGGAACGAGATTTTTCTATAGAAGGCTGTTGGCAGGGAGACGCACAGCGGAGGGTTGGCTAGCGTCCCGTGCGAGATCCTGACAAACAAACTGTGGTGCGTGGTGTTCAGGAGCAGGCGCCAAGAGCCGGTTTGGGAAGACATCCCTACTCTGGAAAGCACTCGAGTCTGCTCTTAATTTTAAGTGACTTTGGTGAAAGTGAAATGCTCTGCTGTGTGTAAGCCTCTTGCTTTGCCTCCCCAGCGCATTTACTACCTGTCGTTGGAGTTCTACATGGGCCGCACCCTGCAGAACACCATGGTGAACCTGGGCCTGCAGAATGCTTGCGACGAAGCTATTTACCAGGTGACATCTTGCGATACCGGGGTCCCCCTGAGGAACTGGCTAAACTTTTCCACACGGACGTCTGGGTATCTGTATTTCCCAGGGCTGCCTCCTAATGATGTGTTATTTTGACTAAATGAAGTGAGGCTTGGTTCTCTGTTAGTGGTTTTCATCCCCTAGAGAAGCCCATGTGGGACCTTGGGGTTCCTTGAGAGTTGGAGTACGGTTTTCTCAAACCACCATTTTCCTGTAGTGGCTGGGAAAATCCAGAAAAGTATCCAGAAAGCAACACCCAGTATTCCAAAAGGCTAAGGAGTCTCAGGCTGCAAATAGTTTTCCATTACTAGGAGAGATGATGGCTCATCATGGGAGATGTAGTCTAATGGGGGAGGCTGGGCCAGGAGGGGAAACTGGAGCACCAAAACACCAAATTACAGTTCATACAAGCAGGTACACAAGGCACTGCAGCAGTGCTGCAGATACAAGTGAATCATTGGGAAGGAAGAAAGGGAGGAAATAGTTTGCTTGAATTAAAATAATGAGTTCAAACTGGAAAAAGCACAGTTGAGTACCACCATGACAATCAGAAATGTGAGGCCATGGTTACCTAGGCTTGCAGCCATCTCTGCAGCAGAACAGTTACCTTTTTGACAGAGTATGAGGTTTTGGGCTTTCTCACCCAAAAGCTTTATTTCTCCCCTCCTCATCCCCCCCCACCCCACTGGATTGATCCAAGTTACACTTTCTAGCAGAAGTTGGACTCTGTCCCTGTCTCTCAAAATGAGGTGCTATGATTCCTGATGAAATGTCCCCGCTGGCCAGCACTTTCCCTGCCAAGGAATGGGAAGGGATTTCCAGGGAGGGACCTGACATGTTTCCTCTGTGAGGTATCATGCCTCAGAAGGCAGGCTGTTTATTTTCAGGGAGTATCCTCGAGTCCCTTTGCAGGGCATTTTCCACGTGCTGGTTTGGCCCAATATGTGAGCGGAGGCTTCCCTCACTGTAGCCTCTGACGTGGAGCTCGTCATGGCCAGTGGCCAGCCGGGGTTGGGGGGCTCATCTCATATCCAGCATGGCTCTGTCACTGAGAGAATTCACCTCGGTTTTCATGACCCCACCACACTGTGCATGAGGCTTGCCTGCTTGTGGTTGTAGACCACTGAAGCACTGGGAGAGTGGTTTGGGGAGCAGCCATGGTGTCAGGCTGACTCCCCACTGTCCCCCCTGGCACTGAGGTGAGATACTGCTGCCCTCTGAGAAGCAGCATTTCTTGACTCCTGGAGAGTCCTTGCTGCTGGCAACGCTTAGCCTTCATCCAGCAACAGCCCCCAAGCCAGAGAACAAATGGCCTGAGAGATGCAGCAGAAGAGACAACCCCTTCCAGCCATGGACTCTGGCCAAGGAGCTTGGTGGCAGACAGGGCAGGATGCGGGAAGACACGGAGCGTAACAGCAAACACTGCAGTAACCAGCTGCCAGCGTGGTCCTGCCCTTCCTCAAGGACTGGGCAGGCACGAGCAGAGGGGCAGCGTGCGTACCTGGGCGGGATTCGGCTGTCCCTCGCATGCCAGCTTGGCTGCTCGCCATCCTGTCTCCCACAGCGAGTTTGGTGGAAGGGCCTCCTGACGTGAGGGACTGCCAGGAGACAAGTGTTTTGTCTAAGGTCTCTAAGGAAACCTAGTTCATGAGAAAACGACATTTGATGATGGGCTAAATTGTTCTCCAATTAATTGGGCTGCCCGGGGACCAGAGGCTGGTGAAACGCTTTGTGGGGAAGGGAGGGTGGGGGCATGTAGAGACTCCCGCAGGTTTAATTTCCCATGGCGTGAGTTGTTTTGGGATCTGTGTTTGCCATCCTCAGAGAGCAGCCCCAGGGCGTGGGCTTCGGGTGCTGACATGTTCTGCTGTGGCTCTTTCCCCAATAGCTGGGTTTGGACGTGGAGGAGCTGGAAGAAATCGAAGAAGATGCTGGGCTGGGAAATGGAGGCCTGGGCCGTCTGGCAGGTAGCGTGGGGAGAGGGGAGCCCCCTGCTCGCACAGAGTGCACGGGGACTGAGGGTGGCCTGTCTGGAGACTGTCACACCCTCGCTGCCAGCACCACAGCGGGACAGCATGCAGACCTCGGCCCACATCCGCCCTGCAGCCCTTCAGCAGCGTGGTGCCCTCTTGCCTGCTCCTGGCTGGCCAGAAACGAGCCCCTTCCCCAGTGAGAGCATCCAGGAGATGTAGTTGTGTAGTCAGCAGCACAGCAGGCGGGGCTGCGGCTGAAAGAGGCTGTCTGGAGCCTTTCTCCTCACGTCTCTGTGAAATCTCTCACTTTTCAGAGGCACACAAGCAGCTCTCACGTAGGCAGATTGTCAGCTGCTATTTTATTCTGTCTGTCCCACGGGACTGCTGGAGAAAAGAGCTCTCCAACACAGAGGAAGTGCCGAGGTTGATCTTTACCAGAGCTGCCTCAGACAGAGGGGTGGAAGGGTTTGCTTTGAAAGCAATAATAGCAAAGTAGCTGGTGAAGCAGCGAGTCAGGGTCAGAAGCCCTGCTTTACCAGGCAGGCGGGCTTAGAGCAAGGTGTGGGCACCTTGAGCAAGTTTAGAAGATCTCTTTGCAACACATCTGGATTTGGATTTTTGGTGACCTGTCCTTGTCATCAGCAACTTCGGGGCGTTCCTGGTTGCTTGGCAGGACACGCATGGGGTCCTGCTGCAGGCTGTCCCCATCTGTCCCTGCTGCATGTGGGTTTCCTCTGGGTAATAAATGTTTCCAGCGGCATTGGTCTTGACAGCTCCTCGCCCCCGTGCACAGCACGCCATAGCAGGTGCAGCAAGCGAGGGTTGAGTTTCCTTGCAGCGTGACCATGCTCTGCCCTTGCAGCTTGCTTCCTGGACTCCATGGCCACGCTGGGACTGGCAGCATATGGTTACGGCATCCGCTACGAGTTTGGTATCTTCAATCAGAAGATTGTCGACGGCTGGCAGGTACATTGGCAAACTCGGGTCACCCTTTCTCCTTCTGTTTCTTGCTGCGGTGGCTGCCTCTGCCTGTGGACAAGGCCTGGCCACACAAATGGCACTGCAGTGCCTTGGTCTGTTTGTAAACTGGGCATTTGAGCCTGTCACCTGGTGCCAGATGGGCTGTCACTTGCTACTGCTTGTGCTCTGACCACCTGAGCAAAGAAATGTGGGTGGTGCATGTGCAGCAGGCGCTCACCCAGGAGAACGTGCAAGCTCACCCACACCAGTGACCAACCTGGCAAGACGGTGTTGGAGCTGAGCCCACAGGGCATGGCTGAGACCAGAGGTCTCCCAAGAGCCCCATCCAGCCGGGCAGTGAGTGGGCAAGGGGTCAGGCTAAGGATGGAGATGTGGCTGAACACCTCAGGAACGTGTCTGGTGGAGGATGAATTTGAACGTGATGGAACACGTGCAAGTGCCTGGGGTGCTGCTGCTCCTGCAGGTTCCCTGGGAGACTGGCAGCGGGGGCTTAAACAGGGACTCTCCTGTAGCATTTACGATCATAATATTTTGTAAGTGAAAATAGGCTAAAAAACTGCCCCAGCTGCAAGTTTTCCCCAGTGTGTGTTTGGAAATGGTTTCCATTAGGAGACTTGCCTTGCTTCTGAGCATAAAAGACCTTTTTTCCTCTTGAAGTAGCTCTCTACAGGTCAGGGAGGGTGAGAGGTTTGAGTGTTATTCTCTCCTCCTTCCCCACAAAGAAGCTGCCGTGCTAGGCCCTATAAAAGGTGAAATCAGGGGAAAAAACATCCACTGTAATTGACTTACAGTCAGTTACACTTAAAAAAACCCCAGAGGTGGTGGCAAGGCTGAGTTGTGGCTCAGACCTGCCCCCCCGGCCTGGCAGAGAAATGCCCGCAGGCACAGAGCATCTCTCCAAGCACCTCAGCCCTTCTGGTTTCTGGTGCACATCAGCTCAGCTTGGGTGCTCTGCTGAATTCACTCCCATTGGTGCTGTTGGGAGCAGAGAGGAGAAATCCTCTCTGGCAGAGGGCAGAGCAGTTAGCAAGACCTGGTTTACAGGGGGTGGTTTGTGGCCAAGAACAGCACCGATGGGCTTCTAGGGAACCACATCTCACGTATCCCACTGTCACAGTCAAACTGGGTGTAAAGCCCTCGAGACAGACTGAGTGCAGGGATCCATGCAGTTTGCATGGTTTAAACCTATATGGCTCTGCAAAGCCCATAGAGGCCAACTTATTTATACCAGCTTGGATGTAGTCATCCACGTTTCGAACAGCCCAGCTGTCCTCTAGAGGCCTCTGCATAGCCGTTTTTAAAGCCAGCTTACTAAAGCTTTGCTTTTAAACTGGCCTCCCTTTGGAGAGCCTAGTTTAGCCTTCGCTTGGAGACACAAGCCATCACTTGAACCCTGTTTGCCTCTTGCAGGTGGAGGAGGCTGATGACTGGCTACGCTACGGCAATCCCTGGGAAAAAGCTCGCCCAGAGTACATGCTCCCTGTGCACTTCTACGGCCGCGTGGATCACACCCCCGAGGGCGTGAAGTGGATCGACACCCAGGTACCAACATCTCCCTTGGTGCTGGGCTGGGGGAGGACGGGTCAGGGGAGCATGGAGGGGGAGAGTCTGTCCTTGGGGCTGCCTCTCTCCCGGTCTGGCAAAACTCTCTCTGCTACCCTTGCAATTACAAAGGTGACTTTGTTGGCTACGGCTGCAGCAGGATTTGAGGAAAAACAGGGGTGATATTCAGTCACAGCTTTAACTTCAGATCAGTTGGGGCCTCCTCTACTGATCTCCACGGTGAAGTGCCATACTCTTGCATGGATTTTTGTTGGAGGAGGACTGTATCCCTGGCAGCTGTGCTAGGCTCCTTCCACACTGCTCCTAGCTACTGTTTGCTCAAACCCAGTGGTTTTGCAGGTTGAGATTCATCTCGTGGGATGGCCATGGAGCAATCCTGTGGGTGTTTAATTCCTGTGATCAGAGCAAGTTCCTCTTTCCCAGACCAGCCTGATGGGTAGAGCGCTGTCAGGGGAGGCTGGAAGCACGGTTTCAAGTCTCCAGTCTGCCTGGAGGCCTTGTTTTGTGGCATCGTGGGGAGCAAATGCTTCTTCAGCCTCCCACAGTTGGGGAGGTAATGCCGTGCTTCACGAACACGTGCCTGCTCAGAGCACAGGCTGCTGCATTGTAAATGCATTTCAGTCTTACAGCTGAGGAAGGCAAGCTTTAAAAAGGCACAGATTGTTAAGGGGATTTAAGATGTTTCAGCCTCTCCTGTTTAAGCACTGCCCAGGATGGAGGGAGGAAGGACTATGAATTTCTCTGGGATTCAGGGACATGACCTAGCCTTGTTCCCATGATGTTTAAGGGTGTCTCAGCCTAATGAGCCAGCTTTGTCCATCCGAGGAGTGCACAGTCATAAAGCCAAGCCATTCTCTTCAGCACCAAGAGCTGAAGCTCAGTTGCAGAGTCACCTGGGCCCACTCAGAGGAGAAATAAACCATGTCCTTTTCCAGGGACCCTGGTTGTTGAAGGCTGTGCAGTGACCTAGGCCATTCCCAGGACACACACAGTGCAGGGGTTCAACACCCCAGCCCTGTGAACAGCATGGAGGCACCGTGCCAGAGCTCTCTGAGGAAGCAGACATCCGCTTGGGGACCGAGTGCCCTTGCCTTTAAATGTGCTCCTCTTCTGACCCCAGCGGTAGTCCAGGGTTTCAGGGATTCCAAGCAGTGCAGTGGAAACACTGCTTCCTGCAAGGAGGTGAATTTTCAGATAGTGCTGTTAAGGGAATAGGTTAGAAAGGCTCAAAAAAGCCAAAGACACGGTCTCCAAATATAGTATCACTCAGTTCATGTGATGTGTGCCCCAGTCCCGTGGCTCAGGCAGGGCAGGCTTTCTGCCTGCTTCCATGTTCGGAGCTGGTAATAGCAGCGTTCAGAGCCTGAGCTCTTGCTGATTCTCCCTAGAGGGGAAGTGTTGCTGACGCCAGCACGAAGAGGCTGTTCAGCGCCAACACGCTGATCTGCCTGGGTTTTCCCTGCCCTGTTAGCACAGCTCCTTCAGTTCTCTGCTACCTCTCATGTCTTCGCTTGGGGACAGCCTCTGGCTGCCGGGCTGTTGTGCCAGTACACGCTGACTTGTTCAGGAGGATGCTGGCTCCTTTTGACAGTGTCGGTGAGGCAGCCCAGGCTCCGTGCTGCAGGATCTGGGCCTTGCTCTGCAAGCACCGTTCAGCTCTGCTGGCATAAGCCCTCAGCCTTTTTGGTCCCAGCTGAGGTCTGGGTGCCTTGCCTTGCTACTCAGCAGGTCTGGAGGCACGCAGATGTTGGCACAGCAGTAAGCTGGAGCACACAAGCTTGGAAGCACACCCATGCCTTTCTGGGCTAGTGTAATCTGAGCTGGGAGCCCTAGTGTTACTCCCTGTAGCCATGTGTGCAGCATCTTGATGCTTAAGCATCACCCATAGACTGCACTAATAGTTTCGTACTCGTGTTCAGTTTGGGTGCTGGAGATTTCAGCAGATTTACCCAGGCAGGTTCAACAAACCTTGAACATTGGGTGAATTGCTGTGGGAATGGTGCTGTGGCGGTAAGGTTTGGACCTGGCAGGCTGCAGAAGGCTAACAGGAAGGATGCAGGCTGTGGAGTTTATCCCAGATGGAAACGCAAAGGTCCCAGCCGCCTTGGCCCTACCCCAGCACAGACAGAATTGCAGTGGCCGGCTGAGGATGCTTGCAGTGCTCTGGTGAATGACTAATAGATATGTCAGTTGGCATAGGAAGGTCAGCAGGTTGCTTGCAAAACTCTTTTACATTTCATTGATGGGCTTGTAACTCCTGTTTGTCAGTAAAGCTCCAAACAGCTCTGCTTCTCCTATTAATGCTCTGTCAGTGGGTGCTGGAAGTGCCCATGATAGCAGGGAAGTCTGTGAAGTTCAGGAGATGTGTTTTAGTGAGGTGAGATCCTTACCACAGCCAGGAGTTGTCTGGATTCTTCCTGCAGAGGTTTCAGCTGCTTTCCCACCTTCCCTGAGACCACTGTGCTGCTAATCAGAGGGGAGTCCTGTCCTTTTTCAGGTTGTCCTTGCTATGCCTTATGACACGCCAGTGCCAGGATACAAGAACAACACAGTGAACACCATGAGGCTGTGGTCTGCAAAAGCACCCAATGACTTCAACCTCCAAGAATGTAAGTGCTATCCCTCCACTGCCTCTCTTCTGGCCTGGCTGGGACGTGGATGTTCCTGTGTGTGTAGCACCCGGCACAGCACTCTCCCTCTGGCCTGCTTTATCCATATCCCCTGGCTACCTCTGAAACGCAGCGCTGTGTGTACATCCATGGATCACACTACCTCCAACCATTTCCAGAGCTCTCATGCACCAGGACACCCAGCCATCCTCCTTCCATCCCCATCACGCTCTCCAAACCTGCCCTGTGCCTTCCCCAAGTGACAGACCACCTGTGACTGCGTTCCCCACGTCACCAAATGAGCTGCAAACCCACGCTTGCCATGGAGGGTCATTTCTGTGCAGCATCATCCCTTAGTGCTGAAGGAAAAGAGCAGCACAGCCCACCTTACTGTTGGTTTCCTTTGGGTCTATGCGTGACCTCTCTAGTATGCTTTCTAGGCTCTAATTGTGGTGCTGAAGAGCAGACATAGGGCAACTAACGTACCAAATGCCAGTGCTAGGCTGTTACAGAAGGGGAAGACTGATCTGATTTATTCTTCCCTAGTGGCAAGCACAGAGATGTGTGTGTTCAAGCAGCCCTGCCTGGAGAACCTGTGTGGGACTTGATGGCTCTTGAGTCCTCATAATGGTGTCTCAACTCTTAATCGGCAGCTGGGACCTGGGTTTTGGATGAGACTTTTGTACCCTTTAGGAGTTGAGGGTGATTGCAGTCTTTGTGCTGCTTTGCCCTGCCCCATTTGTCCTTAGTCCTGAAGCAAGATGGCTGGTAACTTGCTTCCTTTTTTTTGCCTTCTCTGGCTGCTATCTGTCTTTAGTTTCTGTCTGTCCTTCCTGACACGTGTGTCTTGAGTAACTGCATGGAGATGTACCTTTCTCTTATCCCATCTTCTTTTGTCTCCCTGGTGCCTTTTGTACATGTACATTCCCATTCGTGTTTCATTAATACCAGCCTGAATGTTCCTGTTACAAATCTCTGTACGAGAGAAGACGGAAAAGCACAGTGTCAGGGACCTGCCTGAATCTCTGCAGCTGCTGCAGTGCTGTGTGTATTCCTCTCTTCCTGCAGTCAATGTAGGTGACTACATCGAGGCGGTGTTGGACAGAAACCTGGCAGAAAACATATCCAGAGTCCTGTACCCAAATGACAACGTGAGTGACTTTCTTGCCTCTCTTCCCTGCTGCTTGGGATCATCTTCCCTTTAGTTGTATCACCTTGTTTGCAAGCGCTGGAAGGTCATGGCCACCTGATTGTGCTGGTTTGAGGATTTTTAATACAGTAGGTTGGCCCTGTAATTCTCAGTGAACAGATGCAGCTCTGCTGGCTCTGGAGGGTCTCTGCTGACTGATGGCAGCTCAGAGTCTTCCCCATATTGTACAGTTCCTCTCTTCCCTGCTGCAAGGAGGGGAAGACATACTACTCCTTCAAATGCCAGACAGTTGCCGGCTTACATGGCTTACCCTTTGCAAAAGTAAGCTGTCATTTCAGAAGCAGCCATGAGGGGGGGACTCGTTTCCATCCGCAGGTCAAGGGATTTCTCACTGCAGGGACTGTCCCAGGCCATGCACTCACTAGGCACCAGATCCAAAAGGGGAGAGCCCTCGCTTTCCAGTCATGGATTAGCATCTGTGCTGGAGAAGCTCATCTCTGGCACTTTAACCCCACCCTCTGTTTCCTGTTGGTGTTTTAAAATAGACCAGTGTAAAGTGTAGTGTGCGTGGGAGGCAGCTGGCGTGTCCAGAGACACTGGCTCCTGGCTATCGCAGGGAGTCCAAAATACTTGCTCTAAAAACCCTGGAAAGGGTCTTGAAGTGAGGGCGGGAGCTGCGCTTGCTCTGTAGGAGCAGCGTGGATGTGGCAGGTTCTGTTGCCCTCTGGGGGCAGCTGTTTGGGATGCTGGGTCCCTTGTCAGTCCCTACAGCTGCTGCCCCATCAGAGGCAGTATGAGAAAAATCCACGTTTGCCCTGATGAGGTGCTGAACCTGTGAGGTCTGTTGGGAAGCCCATGAGTGGACAGGAGCATCTCCAGGGGACTGGCTGCCAACTGGGGGTGGCAGCTGCAGCACTGCTGGCTGTGGTCTCCCCACTTGCAGTTCTTTGAAGGCAAGGAGCTGCGGCTGAAACAGGAGTACTTTGTGGTGGCTGCTACCCTCCAAGATATCATCCGGCGCTTTAAGTCCTCCAAATTTGGCTGTCGAGACCCTGTGAGAACGTGCTTTGAAACCTTCCCAGACAAGGTGAGTTTGTGGGCAGAGAGGGTCCGAGGGCGTTTCAGCCAGACCTGCCTATCCTGAGGGAGAGCAGGATGCTCAGGACCAAGTGGGGGCATGTATACAGAGACCCTGGCAATTTGGGTTGGAAAACAGGTGATCTCTGGGCCTATCTTGCCAGGGAAAAATTTGCAATTTGGAGCAAAACTTGCAAAGGTTGAACGGAAACCTCTGTCCTGGGAGCTCTGTCTGTTTCTGGGGTGTGTGCCACAAGAAGAGGCTTGTGGCCAACCCTCACCTCAGCCCCGTGCATGCGGGATACTGTCACAGTCCTATCACTGCCAGATCTGAGCCCAGCAAGTCTGTGTTGCAGGTGGCAATTCAACTGAATGACACCCACCCTGCCCTGTCCATCCCAGAGCTCATGCGGATCCTGGTGGATGTGGAGAAAGTGGATTGGGACAAGGTAAGCAGAGCTGGGAGGTCCATGCTGAAGGTTGCAGGGGAAAGAGCTGCTGTCCTACCCTCACAGGGGTTTTCCTTTCCCCTCCTGGCCTGGGTACGCGCACGTTAACCTGCTGTGTGTAACACAGGCCTGGGAGATCACGAAACGGACCTGCGCCTACACCAACCACACAGTGCTGCCTGAAGCCCTGGAGCGCTGGCCTGTCTCCATGTTTGAAAAGCTGCTGCCACGTCACCTAGAGATCATTTACGCCCTCAACCAAATGCATCTGGATGTAAGGGACTGGGATGGTCAGAGGCTGTGGGAACTCTGGGGGTCTTGATCTGGCTCCTTTAGGATGGGAATGTTCCTAGGTCCTATGGCTGGGTTGCTAATGTCCCTCTTTCTGCCTCCCTGCCTGCCTGTAGCGGGTGGCAGCTCTCTACCCAGGGGACATTGACCGTCTCCGCAGGATGTCAGTGATCGAGGAAGGAGACTGCAAACGTATTAACATGGCGCACCTCTGTGTGATTGGCTCCCATGCGGTCAACGGCGTGGCCCGTATCCACTCTGACATTGTGAAGAACTCAGTGTGAGTTGGGGGACACCCAAGGCATGCACCCTCTCCACTCACTGGGCTTTGCCCGCAAGCCTGGGGGTCTATCTGGAGCCATCAGGTGTCAAGGTCTGCTTTGGTGGCCTTGCTAGGCATGGCGGGCTGGGGACACAGTCGCATTTGTGTGCGTGCAAGGTCTCACTCATCTCCCTTGGCTGGTGAAACCTTTGGCTTATGGCTGAGGAAGGGCCTGAGAGGCAGCTTAGGGAGTTCACGCTTGTTACAGGGAGATCCGCAGACTGCCCTGTGTCAGGAGCCTGGGCAGTGGGGGCCCAGCTGAAGCTTTGGGCAGTGGTGAGTGGTTCAGAGCTCCCTGGTGTTGCAGGTTCAAGGATTTCTATGAACTGGAGCCAGAGAAGTTTCAGAACAAGACAAATGGGATCACGCCGAGGCGCTGGCTCCTGCTGTGCAACCCGGGACTGGCCGATGTTATCGCTGAGGTGAGTTGCAAGCATCTAAAGTGAAGGGCTGAGCATGGCCCGTTGGCTTCTGATCACCTCTTTGTGTGGTCCGATCAGACCTGCCTAACGCCTGGCAGATGTGAGTGAGGACAGCCTGGGAGGAGCACGCCTGTTGCACATGCAGGGGTGAGACTGGCTGGGCTTTGGAGTTGGTGATGAAGAGTTGGCCAAAAAAGTTGCAGAAATTTGGATCTGGTTCACTGCCTTCACAGTGGCTACACACAACCATAGTATGTGAAAGGGGGTGTCTGCAAAAGCATTCAACTTCACAGGGACAAAGGAGCTCCCTTGGAGCTCCAGCCCCAGTTATGTCTCTTTAACACAGGTTTTTGCTTCACACTGCGACATGCCATAGCTGAATAATGTCCTGCAATTAAATGTATATTTATGTCCTGCTGCTCAGTTTCTCCAGCTTCCAAGAGGCTCTGGTACATGTGCACACATCCTCTTTCTAAAGCTCCTGGAGACAGAAGGACTTGTTTGGGTTTTTGCCAGTGCCCTGTTTCCCCTCTACCTTTGGGCTCCCTGATGACACACAGAACTAACCTCGCCATAAGAAACTCTGCCCCTTTTCCTGGCCAGAGTGCCTCTTCCAGTTCCCCATGGGACTGTGCCATCTCTGTTGGGGAAGTGCAGTTGTGGACTGGGTGATGTGTCTCATGGGTGGGATGTCCCTCTCGGTTTGTTCTTTCAGAAAATTGGGGAAGGCTTTATCACAGATCTGAGCCAGCTGAAAAAGCTACTGGATTTCATCAATAATGAGACTTTTATCAGGGATGTTGCAAAAGTCAAACAGGTAATGTGCACTGGAGGGGGTGGGGGGAAGAAGGCTAAAGTCAGAAACCCATACCTGTTCCTCATCAGATTTTCTTGCCAGGAGAACAAGATGAAGTTTGCAGCCTACTTGGAGGAGCAATACAAGGTCAAGATCAACCCTTCGTCCATGTTCGATGTTCAGGTCAAGCGAATCCATGAGTACAAGCGGCAACTGCTGAACTGCCTGCATGCTATCACCCTCTACAACCGTAAGTCCTGCCTGGGCTGGTAGGCAAGGGGTGTCCCCCCAGCCTCTCACTGCTAGGGTTCCTGTGTAAAGTAGTATGCCAGCTGGTGGCCAAGGACTGCTGAGCCTAGCTCTGCCCTCCTGTCATGAAGGGCTTCTCTCCAGGAGGGAAGACTGAGGGTCTGAAGGATCGTACATAGCTCTGAGGAAAAGCTCACAGCCCCCATCTCCAGCCCAGCTGGGTCCCAGGGCCCAGGTAACCCCCACACCTGTACTGCAGGTGTTAGGACTGACCTGGTACAAGTCAAAACCCCACTCCCAAGTGCATACTTCAGGCCCCTGCCCATTCCTGAAGGGAGGCAAGTCATTGGAGCTCTACATTGTGCTGGCTTTGCAGCCCATTTTCACCCAGCACAGCTCCGGCAGATGTCTGGTTGGGCTTCAGGGTCCTGCAAGTTTGCTGGGTCCATGTGACGTGGGCTGGGATCCCAGCCCACCTCTGATGCACACAATAAGCTCTGTCCGGTTTATCTTCACTTCGGTTGTGTTATGCTCTGCTCTTTCAGGCATCAGAAGCGATCCATCCAAATCCTTTGTGCCCAGGACTATTATGATTGGAGGAAAGGTAATGTATGTTCCAGATTCGGTGCTTGCATGGCTCAGTGGGGATGTGGGGAAGGTGCTGTCCCCTTTCTATGGCTTTGCTGGGCCTGCTGTAGGTTAGCCAGCATGTGTCTGCTGGCGGGCTCTTCAGGAAACACCTGCATGGACTAATCCAACTGAACAGGGCCCCCTCACTCTTTC